GGAAGGAAGGAAGGAAGGAAGGAAGGAAGGAAGGAAGGAAGGAAGGAGAGAAGGAAAGGCATGCATAGGGACATGAAGGGCATAAATTGATAAATCTAGCACTTAGTACAGTAATTGGTGCTTAATAAATGTTTATTGATCTTGATTGATTTTTGTCTTTCATTTTAAATATGTTTCTAATAATCTTTTAAACTGTGTTTATTCAATAGATTTCAACTGCACAAATATTTACAAAGCACCCACTACACTGATCACACTATTACTAGGGTCTGGGAATAGAAAGGCAAATGTGAAATAAACAGTTCATGTCCTCAAAGATTTCATCTATTTATCAAATAAGGATTTCAGAAACATTAGGAAAGCACAATTGATTCATACTTAGTATCAAGGCATATAATATAGCCTCCAAAAGAAGAAAGGAAAAAACCATCATAACAATTGAAAATATGCCTCATTTGAATTATTCTAAAAATTTCACAAATTATGACATGAAATTTTAAATGCCACACATGATTCTTTAGCAATGCAGAACTACATAAAGAGGAAAAACAACATTTAGAAATGTTTTCTTTGTTCATTTCCATTTAAAAGTTGTTTTTGTTGATGCTTTTTAAAACAAGATTTTGTATTATGCTGCATTTTCCAGAGATTCTGTGAATCATTTAAAAAGTTATCTCTGATTTCACCAAAGCAAAAGTGGTTATGTTTTGTCATATGATTCTATTCCAATTTTTATCTTGAGTTACCCATAAGGAAAATTCTTCTGTTTATATAAAACCCTCCTTGACTTGCATTGATTTCCCTACATGTTTTCTATTTCCTATTGTTGTTTTACCTTTACAAATGCTATACGAAATTTTAAAATCCGATATAAATGTTATACAACCAAGCTGACATCTCTAGAAAAGAAAAGTTAATTGGCTATTGTGAGAAGGAAACAAATTATCTAACATATTTTTTATAAATATAATATCTGTAATATAAATATTGAGATTTTATAAGATAATTAAGGAAATCATATACACTCTGTGTGTGTGTGTGTGTGTGTGTGCATGTAATTTGGAAGTGAGAGGTAGATATAGAACCTCTGATTACATTAATCTAAGAAACTTCTGGATGAGGAAATAATCTGCCACCAATGCAAATCAGGAACTGTTCTACACTTTATAGTCTTATCTAGGTGACTGGGGCACTGACAGACTAAGCGTCTCAGCAACAATCAATCACAAGGCCAGTATGTATCAGAGCTGAGACTTGAATCAAGGCCTTCCTATCCCTGAGATCAGCTCTCCACCCATAATCACAAGATGCCTACTCATATTCAAATATAAATATATAAAATTTGCTTTGAATGTGATGAACACATATATGTATACATATATGTGTGTGTGTATATGTGTGTATGCACATGTATGTATATATGTGTGTGTGTGTATGTATCTATATCTATATATCTTACAGCCTGCTATATCTCGGTTTGCTATCTCATTCCTTCTTGTTGTCTACCTAGTAATGTTTTCCAATTTCAATATTCAAATAAATTGAATATGTATATCAAGCAGATAGTACATTTGTTATGGGTATGTCGCGAATGTGTCCAGCACAGAGATATCCAGAGGACATGCTAGAGAAAGGGGAGATCACCTGAAATAATTAGATTGACTAGCTATATTTACTAAATTCTTGAGACAGTGAAATAGGTCAAATGAATTCAATTCAAGGCTCAGTTGGACCAATGTTGTCCCTGAAAGTGGCATCAAGGGAATATGGTAGGAAGGCATAACACCAGACTCAAAAATATAAAGACCATTTTCTCTAAAAGCACCTCTACCTTCTCCAAATATATAATATCCCTCCTTCTCTCCAATGGCTTCCATCATTTTGGTGCAAGCCCTTTTCACCCCATAACTGGACTATTACAATAGCCTGCTGGTGAATATCCCTGCCTCAGGTCTTTCCACACCCCAATCCACCCTCCAATTACCTGTAAAACTGATCTTGCTAAGCAAAGGTTTGACCCTCCCTTTTCTATAAATTCCAGTCATTTCCTATTACCTCCAGAAAAACATACAAAATCCTGTTTGGCTTTCAAAGATGCTCAAAGCTGTTGAAAATTTCTAAGCTGGCCCCTTCCTATCTTTGCAGATTTATTATACCTTATTCTCCTCCACATAGTCTTTGATCCAATGACACGGGCTTTCTTATCATTCTTCATACATGATACTTCATCTTTCAGATCACAAGAGTTTTCATTGGTTGACCCTCACATTTGGAATTTTCTCCATATCAGCCTTACAATGTCCCTGGCTTGCTTCCTTCCTTCAATCTTTTGAAAATTTTCAAACCTTGACCTCATAACCTTCAAACTAAGACTGCCCATTTTTGGGGGGTGAGGTGGGAGTGGTAGGTATTCTTACTAGTGCTTTTCTGCATTGAATCATAATCTGCCACCCCCTAACTGGTCTTCCACCCACTGATCTTAGTTCTTTCCTCTGAGGAAAGTTTCTTTGGGATATTAAGAATGAAACAAAAGATATTCCAATAGACTATGAGCTCCTTGAGGGCAGGCAGACTTCAGTAGGTGCTTAATAAATGCTAGCTAGGGGGCAGCTAGGTGGTGCAGTGGATAGAGCACTGGCCCTGAAGTTAGGAGGACCTGAGTTCAAATCCGGTCTCAGACCAAACCCTTGACACTTACTAGCTGTATGACCCTGGGCAAGTCACTTAACCCCAATTGCCTAAAAAAATAAGTAAATAAAATAAATGCTAGCCGACTGACTTAGTACAGAATGTTTGACCTCTATTCCCTCTTAAGTAAAGAGTTCTGTATTTTGTACCGCCAATAGTGTAAGCAGGGGTGGGGAACCTGAAGCCTCACGGTCCTTGGGTGCAGCTTTTTGATTGAGTCCAAGTTTTACAGAACAAATCCCTTTATTAAGGGGATTTGTTCTGGGAAGTTTGGATTCAGTCAAAGTGCCACACTTGAGGACCTAGAAGGCCACATGTGGCCTCTAGGCCTCAGACTCTCCATACCTGGTGTAAAGTATCATTTCCTCCAATCCATTCTAAAAACATGCTTCTTCAATTTTCAGGGTCATAGATATTCCAAGTTTTGAATACTATAAATCAGTGTTACCTTTTCACAATATTATTGAATTGGCTTGTCATTAACCTTTGCCTTTTTAAGCTGAATAAAAGTATCTTTTTATTTCATTGATCAATTCACTTGTTCATTCAGTCAATCATTCATTCAACAAATACTATGTCAGACACTAAAGGAACACAAAAATGAGTAACATGATCCCTGCTCACAAAATACTTATAGCAATGGTTCTCAAAAGGTGAGCCCAGGTATATGATTAATCTAGGTGGTCACAGAAGGGTATGGAATTTATACTTTTAATCCTCTATAATTTGGGAAAATCAATTCACTTCTCTTCACCTTACTTTCCTCAATTATAAAATAAAGGGTTTGATTAGATGGTCCATTCCAGTTCTATACTCTTCAATCTTATTGAAACATCATCTCCATTTCCTTAGCAAGGTCAATAATAACTATACCTGATTTTATCAAACATTTTAAAGTTTATGAAGTACTTTATACATACCATTTCATTTGAACTTCTCAACTCTGTAAAGTAAATACAGTGGGTATTGCTGGTGACAGTCATGGTAGTGATGCTTTTTAACTGGATTTGGTATTTCATCCATGTACAGAACTCCTTGTCAGAGGAATCTCTCCACTAATTCAGCTTGGCAATAGTTCTACAACTTAGAGTCCAAAAGAGAGACTAATCATATAGTCAATATATATCCATCACAGAACTTGAATCCAGGTGTTCCTTGATCCAAAGTCCCTTCTCTATTTGCTATACCACAGCTGTCTCTCAATGAGTAACATTATTCCTATACCACAGATGGGGAAAATAGAGGGAGGAGGGAACAGCATTTGTTAAGTCTCTACTATGTACACTGTGCTAAGAGCTTTACATATATTATCTCATTTGATCCTCATAACAATCCAATAAGGTAGGTGCTATTATCATCCCCATTTTACAGTTTATGAAACAGAGGCAAACAGAACTCAGAGAGATTAAGCGACTGACCCATTATCACACAACTATTATGAGTCAGGATATTAACCTAGGATTTCCTAATTACAATTATGTGCTCTTTTCACTATACCACAAAGTCCTTTTAAGTGACAATGCCATTCTCTACCTTCCTCAGCTCAATCAAATTCTTAAACTGCAATTTTAAAAAAGTGCACAAAGAAAATTTTACAAGGTTTCATGCATTTTATTCCAATTCAACAATCACAGACAATGTACAAGGCATTGCTGGGCAAAGACAAATACAAAAGTCTGCCTGCCCTCAAGGAGCTCATAGTCTATCGGAATATCTTTTGTTTCATTCTGAATATCACAAAGAAACTTCCCTCAGATGAAAGAACTAAGACCAGTGGGTGGAAGACCAGTTAGGAGGTGGCAGACTTTGATTCAATAAGTATACTTACCACTCCCACCCCACCCCACAAAAATGGGTAGTCTCAGTTTGAAGGTCATGAGGTCAAGGTCGGAAAATTTTCAAAAGACTGAATAGTTTAAATATAGTCATATAAAAATGTTCTAAATAACTATTGATTAGAGAAATGTAAATCAAAACAACTCTGAGGTACCACATCAGACGTATCATATTGGGTTACATGACAAAACAGGACAATGATAATGTTGGAAAAGATGTGGAAAAATTGGAACACTAAAACGTTGGTGGAGTTGTGAAATGATCCAACCATTTTGGAGAGCAATTTGGAACTGTGCCCAAAGGTCTATAAAATTATGCATACCCTTTAACCCAACAATACCACTTGTAGGTCTATTTCCCAAAGAGATCATAAAAACATGAAAAGGATCCATATGTACAAAAATATTTATAGAAGCTCTTTTTGTGGTGGCAAAGAATTGGAAATTGAGGGGATACCCATCAATTGGGTAATGGTTGAACAAGTTGTGGTATATGAATGCAATGGAATGCTGTTGTGCTATAAGAAATAATGATCAGGAAGACTTCAAAAAAACCTGAAAAGATTTGTATGGACTGATGCTGAGTGAAATGAGCAGAACCAGGAAAACATTGTACACAGTAACAGCCACATTGTGTGATGACTGACTTTGAGAGACTTGGCTCTTCACAGCAATGCAAGGATCTAAGACAACTCCAAAAGACTCACAATGAAAATTGCTATCCACACCCAGAGAAAGAAATATGGAGTCTGAATGCAGATGGAAGCATACTATTTGCTCTCCTTTTCCTTTGTTGTTTTGTTTTATTGATTCATTGTCATGGTTACTCCCATTAGTTCTAATTGTTCTTTACATCATGACTAATGGGAAAATACACTTAACATGAATGTATATGTAGATCCTATATCAGATCATACACTATCTTGGCTGGGGGGGGGCACCAGGGGGAGGAAGAAGTGAGATGGGGAGAAAATTTAAAACTCAAAATCTTATGGAAGTGAATGTCGAAAACTAAAAATAAATTAATTTATTACAAAAAAAAAAAAGTCTGAATAGTTGCCTGTCAGGGATGATGAAAGATTTCTTGAATTTTGGGGAAGTTGGGCTAGAAGACATCTAAGGAGGAAAATCTCCAAAACATCAAGTGTATCCACCATGGAGAATGGACAGAGGGATGAGTGGTAAAAAGGAGAGGTCTGGATGGGGTTGTGATCAGTGCCAACAGATGGAATAAACAAATTGATTTATCTACAAATTCTGTGCCTACTTGCACAGTCTCCTGATATCTTACAGTTTACCCTGCCATTGATTTAATATTTAATTATCTAGGAAAGTTTCAAATTATTTGCCTTTGAAGAGGCTGTTCTCTAAAATGGAAATACATTCCCTCTTCACCTCCGCCTCTTGAGAAGGCCATAGGTCTTCTTTGGATTCTATTCAATAAACATTTATTTGTTAACTATATTCAAGACACAGAACTAACAATTATATTCATGGCACAGTATGAGGAACAGAGAAAAAAAATCTCTTTATCCAAGGCCTTTCTATTCCCCTGAGGGGATCAACTCAGGTAATAACCTACTCAGAGTCTTCCCTGATCCTATTTGCCCCGTGTTAGAGAAATTATTCTCTATTTACTTTTATATCTGCAAGTGATATTCACCCAAGAGAATGTAAGCTCCTTGAAGACAAGAGCTATTTGGAGTTTTATCCTTTTTGACTCTATTAAATATTATTTGCATTTACTATGTACTTCTTCCAGACCTTGTATACCAATGTTACATAAAGCCTTGTAGGTTCCCTTTTAGTTCTAATCACTGATTAAAGCCAAACAGAAATCTCCATGGGGTTCTAGAGAGAGGTTTGTTTATCTTGCCCTTCATTTCTTGTCTCTAAGCTGGCTTGGCTCTCTTTCCACGAACATCTCTCCCAGCACTGGAGTCTCTCAATTAAAAAAAATAAAAAAACTACACAGCAGCTTTTAACATAAGAATCTAGTCAAAGGATATGACACCTTTTCAGCCCATTGGTATGTTTTTGGTTTTGCTTTTTTCCCTTCAGTATGATTCTCAAGTGGCCTCACTGAATCTTAACTTGGCCGCTTGCCTTTGATACACACAATGAACTTTTTTTTTAATTCCTGGCCCAAAGTGCCTACAAGGTAATTCTGAAATTATTTTTTGTACTGATAATTTCTAAATTCACTGTGTAATTTACTCAAGCCATGCAGTAAGTACTTAAATCCCTCTGACCTATAATTTCTATGTATTAATTTTGGTAACACTATATCAGAGTTCATGTTAACATACATATACACATACATAAAATCTGTAGGGGGAAAGGGAAGATGATTTCTAGTGTGATTTCATGATAATAAGGAAAGGAAATGCATGCTCTTTTCATTCTTCAATTACCTTTCATTATGGATAATGCTGATAACTATGAACAATTTTCATTCCTCTCTCCTTTCCCTAGCAATCATGCTCCCAGGTATATAAGAATATACAATGTAATGGTTTCCATGGTAAAATGGATTACAAGTAGTACTAACAGCATTTTGATATTCAAGTCTCTCTTTCAGTCACAAACTCATGACCTCATGTGAATTTCACATTTGCTCTAAGTACTTTCCCAATCTATTTTAAATAATTACATTAAATAATCCCAATTCAACTGTAATCCAGTTCAGTTTAGAAACTGTAAGACATGGGTACTGAAGTGGGGAAGTGTTGTAAAAGCTAATTCTCCTCTATATTTTACAAAAAGCAAAATATCTCTTAATAGTTTTATGCCATTGCTTAATATAAGCTAAAGAGAATACACACATGCATAGCAATTAGACCTGTACACAAATGCCATCTTAGTGAATAAGTTTTAACCAGTTTGTTTCTAATTATACTGCGTTAACCCACATAGTAGAGGGTAACAACAAGAAAGTCAGACCAAAATATTGGGTCTGCAGTGAAAGGAGAAAACATAAAGAAAATGATGAGAAATGTGTGAAAGTTAGATAACAACAATAATAATAAAAATAAAATGAGCTGGAATTTATATAATGTTTTGACGTTTGTAAAGAATATTGTACAAATATCGTCTTATTTTAACCTCAAAACAACCTTGGAATATATGTACTATTATTATCCTCATTCCATATATAAAGAAACTGAGGCACAAAGAGGTTAAGTGACTTACCTAGGGTCACACAGCTAGCAAATATTGGAGGGCTGATTTATTTTTTTTCTTGTTTATATTTTTTTATTTTTATTAATTTATTTTGATTTATCAATAATCACTTCCATATGCTTTTGAGTTTAAATTTTTTCTCCCCCTTCCTCCCCACCACCCTCCCCAAGACAGTGCACAATCTGATATAGGTTATACATTTACATTCATATTAAACATATTTTCACATTAGTGATGTTGTAAGTACAAATTAAAACCAATAGGAAGAACAATCAGAAAGAGGAAACAAAACTCAACAGAAGAGAAAAAAAATAGCAATTCAATTTCCATAGTTCTTTCTTTGG